ACCCTCACTTTTCTTTCCTTCCCCTCCTAAAATTAACTCTCAAGCCTTAGTTTTTATACACTTATGAACATGTCAGCCAAAAGTAATAGCGACCGAGGTATTATGTAGTTCAATAACTTTTGCTCTTTACCCAACTTAGTTGGTGCATGGAGAGTGAGTGTTGAAAAAATCTTGGTTTAATTCTCACTAATATTATTTTGGGAAGAATGTGAAATTTTAATCTTTGACCCGCATTAATTTCATATTTGGCTCAAAGAGCTGATGTCGTGAGAATATCCAAGTAATCCTGCTTGTTTTATAGAGATAATTAGAGTTAGTATAAAAAAAAATTAAATTTTCCTCTTTCTATTATTTTCTTAAACAAATAATAATAGTAATAAATTAATAATAAAAATAAGGCTTTTTTTAGTATCATTTAATGAAAAAAATCAAGAGTAAATATCTTTTTCGGTACTCGACAAATTTTACTATGTCCGCTTTAGTCCCTAGCAAATAAAAAGACTATTCGTAGTCCCTAAGAAATTCAAAGTGAATCCATTTTAGTCCTTTTGAGGGACTAATGTGGATCTTTTTTAAATTTGTGAGAGATCACAAATAACTTTTTTATTTGTTAGAGAGAAAAAATGAATATCGTAAAATTTGTTGAGAAGTGAAAAATATATTTACTCAAAAATCAAAGAACTCATGAAATCTCTCATTTTGTTTTTTCTTTCTTCTTTTTTTGAGTACGTTTTTTCTTTCTTTTCCACCCATAACTTTGAAAATAAACACACACACTCTCTCTCTTAACTTTTTTATTCTTTTTATCCACCCGTAGCTCTGAAAATAGAGACCCTATGTGAGAGGGAGTGGTCAATATCTCAAAATAATTGAAAGGGAGTTGTTATTTTGATTGAATGGAATCACGTGAGGACGATGCAGTAGGAGGCTGAGTAGTTGACCCGATGAAGCTGCAAATCAAATAACACACTACATTTTTAATTAATTATATTTAGTTAAATAATTAATAGTTAATGACCAATGCTACCTGCCACATCCCGTGACGCTCGCCTGCCGTATCGCTCCTCCCATCTCTTTCCCTTAACCAACTCTCTCTCATCTGCGTGCATTCCACCGCTTCCAATTTTTTTTTCCATATTTTCATTAAATTTTATTATAAGAAGAAAATAAAATCATTCAATTATATATCGCATATTTCTTTAAATGCTAATGCAACCATTTATCTGAAAAAATATTAAAAAACTAACTAAACATACTTTTAGATAAAATATATTTAATGTATAAGAATAGATATAACACACATGTACCAAAAAAGAGAATTGACCAAACACTATAGTTTGAGTTTTAACACTATATATAGGTACTATTTTAAATTTGGAAAAATTACAAAAATAAAAGGGTGTATTAAGAAGATTTGTTATATTAATATTAAGGTTGAAAACAAGAGAAGTTTTGTCATTTATCCTAGTTTAAGGAAAGTGTCATTTGTAATATGTCAAGATCTCATACTTCTATGTAAAACAAAATTTTCCAATGTTGTACAAATTCAAAATTAGAATCCATTTGTCCACCATGTAGGTTAAAGAATATACTCCAACATAACACTTTCTCGTTACCAAATTCATTGCATTTGACATTTTGAAAACCAAGAATTGAGAAAAGGATCCGAGGTAAGTGATGTCAACCAAATATATATATATATATATATATATATATATATATATATATATAAAGAGATTAAGGGCATGTTTAATTGTGTTTTATTTTTTTATTTTTAAAATTGTTTTGTAAAATAATTATAAAAGTACGTGTTTTTTATGTTTTTTTAAGTTAAAAATTAAAACAAAAAAAAACTGCTAGACATGTGTTCTAAAATTGATTCTAAAAATAAAAAAATAGTTACAATTTTTTATATTTCTTTTTTACAAAATAGGCCTTACCAAATTATTTATTTTCTGAAAATAAAAAATTTATTTTTCAAAACAGATTTCAAACAAACCCTAACATTTCTTCTAGAACAAAAAATAAAATTATCTCCTACAACTACAAAATGATATTATTTTGGGGTTTGAAAAAAATACAAAATGTTTTATTAAAATTCGTGATATAAGAGGAAAATAAATTTTTTAAAATACCCTATATTTTTTTCTAATCCTAAAACGATGTCATCTTCAGAAACATATCTTAGATACTACATGAATATATACTCCCTTACCCAAAAAGAAAAGTAAAATATATATTATGAGAAATAATTTTTGACTCCAATATAATTCTTAATCTTACTTTCTATCTCAATCTTTGATTTATGTATATATGACGATTGTGGTGTATTTGAAATTAATAATTAATTAATATTAATAATTTACAACTGTCAGATACAAATGACTGAGATGGATAATAATACTCCTTAATTTTATCCTGAAATAAAAAAAAATCCTACCTCAAATATTATAATAATAATTACACATCTTTCATGCTGAGATAGTCAAACAAATAGTAATAATTTTCTAATTTATGATATCAGTATACATCCCTCCAATTGAAGTAATCTATATGTCTAGAATTTCCGTTCAAACCAAATAAAATATAGGCCGTGAGGAAGGAGGTCAAACATAGTGGGTGTTAGATTGTCATCGGTTGAGAAACAACCTTCACTCCATTGAATCATATTATCATCGCCATACATATAGTCTTTGTAAACCATATTTTTCTCAATAAAAGAAATATTCTTTTAAAAATCAAAATTATATTCAAAATTCAACTTCAAACCCACGGTGTTTTTGCAAAACATAATGATATTTTAATTTTTTTTTTGTCAAACATAGTATTTATAAATAAAATTCAATTTATATACTCTATTGAAACAAGCAAACCATAACATGAACATGGTAAGTAACGAGCCTATTCTATTAAGCTATGTCATCGTGTGTCCACGCGCATAATGGAAACATGGGATTTGAACTTTGAACGTTGAAGCAAAGGAAACCACTTTTGCACTCGTTCCTAGTTTTAACGCACCCACACACAAGTTGTCGAATCCAACTACACCATCCTGTTCCAAAGAGAGAGAGAAAGGAACAGACAAAATTAGGTGCCCCGCATTGACGAAGAGAGAGAGAGAGAGGGCCATGTGTGTGTTGTAACTTGTAAGTCAGCAAGTGAGACTTTTGCTGTTGCTGCATGTCTCCTCAACGATTTGTTGTCCTATCTGACGAAATCCAAAACACCAGATCACTAAATTTTGTACACAACTCACCTCCTCTATCCTCGTTTCAAATTTACATGCATATTTTAAGAGTTTAATCACGTTCATATTATAGTAGATAATTTTATCTTTTATTTACATATAAAAATATATAAGCTCTATATTTTTTTTCTCTCTATTCTCACTCCACCTGAATTTCACATATTTTTATATATGTATAGGAGATAATTTTATTTCTTATAACATAAAAATTATCAAACCTATATTTTAAGGATTTATTATCGGGGATAAAAAAATGAATGTGCCCTTTTTTTTAATCCTAAGTTGGTTTTATCTGTTTTTTATGTATGTATAAGATAACTTTATCTCATATAATATGATAAATATATTTTCCTTTATTATATCTTCTTAAAATTTAAAATATGTAATTTTAAAATAAAAATGAGAATATTCAAGGAAAATTTAATGTGACCTTTATTTAGTCGAATAAAATTCTTAAAATATTTTTTTAAATAAAAAAATGATATTACTTTAAAACTGCGAAAAATAATTTAGAGAAAACTTTTCTCAAATATTAGATATGAAAATAGAACACACTACAGAATTTCACCTAAGTAGATATAAACTGAGATGCAAAAATTAGGGGGGGTTTTTCAAAACAAGTTATGCTACGTGGCTCGATCGCATAACATGAAATGAAAATTCGTGTTACGGTTGATTAGTAAAAAAAATTCATATTGTATTCGTATTGGAAGGGGGGGTTTCAAAACAAGTTATGGTACGTGGCTCGATCGCATAACATGAAATGAAAATCCGTGTTACGGTTGATTAGTAAAAAAAATTCATATCGTATTCGTATTGGAAAAAGGACTCGAAAAAAATTCATGTAGTGTCACTTGTCAAATTCATGTTAACATGTATTTTTTAATTTTTTTTTTAATTTTCACCCATTTTTTTAAATATTTTTGTCAATTATCGTTTTGACCCTATTTTGCTTGTTATTTGTGTGGTGTGTGTCAACTAACAAAAAATATGTGTTGTATTCATGTTAAAAATTTTGACATAAATAAAAATTTATCTCGTGTTCGTATTAATATATTAGTACCATGTCAAATTCATATTGTGTTAAATTTGTATTGTGTCAACCCACACCCCTACCAAAAATGCATTAATATAAAGATTGAAAATATAATTATTAATTTGTAGTTAAATGGTTCCTATCATGAAGATAAATATGTACGAAGCAGATCAACTTATATCGAATATAATTAATAAAAAACATTACAATCAATTATAATGATACAATCATTAATGGGAAAATATTTCTTAAGGATACAATTTTTCTCATGTTAGTGACTCATAGCATAAGTGGATCTCACTTTAAATTTTTTTTTTCTCTACTATTTTGTGAGCTCTATTTATATTATGAGTCACTAACATAAAAAAAATTTCTCTTTCAAAAGAAGAAAATATTTTCCCATAATTAATTTACGTATATATAAGAGCTCAACATAATAAATAAATTAGAGCTCAACTTGGATTACACCGGTTGAATTTAATTCTTCCCTAATTTATATATTACAGATTCTAAATAAAAGATAAAGAACTTTCCTTTTGTGTCTTGCACTATGCCAAGACTTGTGCTATATCTGTCCTATACGGCTATACCACGGTTCCTTGATTTGAAATTTCTGCTATCTGTGTCTTCCTCTAGATTCTATCTGTCACTGTTTTGCTTTGAAAATCAGAGAGAGAGACAGAGAGAGAGCTTTGACAAAAACAAAAAAGCAAAGAAATCAAAATTTCAGCATATGAATAATAAAAAATAAAGAGAGAGAAAAAAAGGGTTTGGTTTGGAAACTGAAGGACACCCGTTTGACGAAAGTTTGCTGAGGTTAGGTTCTTAGGGCACTGTTGTTTGTTTGCTGTCCCTTTTTTTACTCTGCTTCTTCAGTTCACCTTTGAGCTTAAATTTCGAACCTTTCTGGTTTCTGGCATCTCAAGTAAACAAAGGTTTCATTTTTATGTTAAAGGGCTTTCTATGGGGTTGGTGTGAGTCTGAGAGATCTTGTGGGATTTTCATGTTAAATGGTCACTGTTGAGTTGAGTTGAGTTCTGAGAGCAATATCAGGTCATGGGTTTTTGTTTTTTGGGTCAAAGATGTTAAATTTCTGGTGGGGACTGTGGGATCTCACCGCCTCAACTTGTGTGTTCATTGTTGTCTCACTTTCTTTTTTTAATAGCCACTGTTGATTGCTTCGTCCACAAGCTGTTGTCATATGGTCCTTGTTCTACTTCCTTTGGTGTTTGGGGATATGGGATATAAGTATCTTCATTTGGCCATCCTATCTCTTTCTTTAAGGGTGGTGTTTGTGAATTTGCTTTCAGATTGAGTAAGGGTTTTTCTTTTTTCTCACTGTCTACATCTCTTTGTTCTTGGGATTTGGTTTTTTGTTGGGGATTGGTGATCCAAATCGTTTCCCTTGAAATTGGTGTTTTCCTTTGCAAGGTGCAAGTTGGTTGTTGCCGTTTGAGGGTTGAAAGTTTTGGAGCCGTGCTTAAAAGTTACTTCATCTGGGGTTCTTGTGAGTTGTGGGAAGCACTGCTCTTTTCTGAGATACTAGCTTCTGTTGTTGTGTCTATGGGAGCTTAGCCTTGATTCTGAGCTGAACATATCATTTTGGTTTCAGCCATGGTGCTGCCTAGATGTTTCTCAGTGACACTTGTGCAGTTGTGGTTCTTGGCTTGCTTAATTTGCTTGTCTCTAGGTCTTAATAATCAAACGTCACCCTGTGATCCTCATGATTTATCAGCCTTGAAGGAGTTTGCAGGCAACCTTACAAATGGCTCTATCATCACAGCATGGTCCAATGATATTGTGTGCTGCAACTGGGTTGGAGTTGTCTGTGATAATGTGACTGGTGGTGGAGCAGCAGCTGCTAGTAGAGTGACCAAGTTGATCCTTCCTGGAATGGGTCTCAATGGGACAATTTCACCCTCTTTAGCACAGCTAGATCAACTCAATGTGCTGAACCTTTCATTTAATCGTCTTGTGGGTGGATTGCCTGCAGAGTTCTCCAAGTTGAAGCAGTTGAAATTACTTGACGTGAGCCACAATATGCTGTCAGGAGCTGTTGCTGGGGCACTTTTTGATTTGCAATCCATTGAAATATTGAATATTTCTAGTAATTCATTTGCTGGAGACCTCTTCCAGCTTGGGGAGTTCCGGCATCTCCATGCTCTCAATGTGAGTAACAACTCATTCACTGGCAGATTCAATTCTCAAATTTGCAGTTCTTCCAAGGATCTTCAGACCCTTGATTTATCTGCAAATAATTTTACTGGTGATCTTGAAGGCTTGGACAACTGCACCACATCTCTCCAACAATTGCATTTGGATTCAAATTCATTTTCTGGCCCTCTTCCAGATTCCTTGTATTCAATGTCAGCCTTGGAGCAACTCTCAGTCTCAGCCAACAATTTATCTGGCCAGTTAAGCATGGAATTAAGTAAGCTCTCTAGCCTAAAAGTTCTAGTACTTTTTGGGAACCGGTTTTCAGGGGAACTCCCCAATGTGTTTGGGAACCTTTTGCACTTAGAACAATTAGTAGCACACGCCAATTCATTTTCTGGATCACTGCCTTCCACCTTGGCTTTATGCACTAAGCTTAGGGTGCTTGATCTTCGAAATAATTCCTTGTCAGGTCGCATTGATCTTAATTTCACTGGGTTGTCTAATCTTTGCACACTCGACCTTGCTACTAATCATTTTACTGGACCCCTTCCAAATTCCTTGTCCTATTGTCGTGAACTAAAAGTTTTAAGCCTTGCTAGGAATGGTTTAACTGGCCCTATCCCTGAAAACTATGCCAACCTCTCTTCACTTTTGTTTGTATCCTTGTCAAACAACAGCGTAGAGAACTTATCTGGGGCGCTCTCTGTTCTGCAGCACTGCAAAAATCTCACTACTCTTATCCTCACGAAGAATTTCCATCGTGAGGAAATTCCTGAAAGTGTAACAGCAGGATTTGAGAGCCTTATGGTTTTAGCACTTGGAAATTGTGGTCTTAAAGGCTATATTCCTTCATGGTTATCGAATTGTAGGAAATTGGCAGTCCTTGATTTGTCTTGGAACCATTTGAATGGAAGTATTCCTTCGTGGATTGGTCAGATGGACAGTTTGTTCTACTTGGATTTCTCAAATAATTCTCTCACGGGTGAAATACCAAAAAGTTTGACGGAGTTGAGGGGCCTCATGTACCCAAATTATAGTAGACCAAATCTCACTCCATATGCAGGCATTCCTCTCTTTGTAAAGAGAAACACGAGTTCTAGCGGGCTGCAATATAACCAGGCCTCAAGTTTCCCTCCTGCAATATACTTGAGCAATAACATATTAAGTGGAAATATATGGCCTGAAATCGGTCGATTGAAGGCTCTGCATGTCTTAGATTTAAGCCGGAACAACATCACTGGTACCATTCCTAGCACTATTTCAGAGATGAAGAACTTGGAAATATTGGATTTGTCTTATAATGATCTCTCTGGTGCAATCCCTCTATCATTTAACAACCTCACATTCATGTCAAAGTTCAGTGTGGCATATAATCACTTACAAGGACCAATTCCAACTGGGGGGCAGTTTTTCAGCTTCCCCAGTTCAAGCTTTGAGGGAAACCTGGGGCTTTGTAGGGATATTGATTCTCCTTGCAATAATGTCAACAATACGAGGCCGAATATTTCTTCTGGTTCTTCCAGAAAACTTGGTAGAAGCAATGTCCTTGGCATAACAATCAGTATAGGCATAGGGCTTGCATTGCTTCTAGCATTTATTCTGCTAAGAATGTCAAAGAGGGATGAGGATAAGCCTATTGATAACTTTGATGAGGAACTCAGTAGTAGGCCACACAGGTTATCTGAAGCTCTTGTTTCCTCAAAGTTGGTGCTTTTTCAAAATTCAGATTGCAAGGATCTCACAGTTGCAGATTTGTTAATATCCACAAACAATTTCAACCAGGCAAATATTGTTGGTTGTGGTGGGTTTGGTCTTGTCTACAAGGCATATTTTCCAAATGGCACAAAAGCAGCTATCAAGAGACTTTCAGGGGACTGTGGTCAGATAGAACGTGAATTCCAAGCTGAAGTAGAGGCCCTCTCAAGAGCTCAACACAAGAACCTTGTTTCTCTTAAAGGTTATTGTCGGTATGGCAATGACAGATTGCTAATTTACTCATACTTGGAGAATGGAAGCTTGGATTATTGGCTACATGAGTGTGTGGATGGAAATTCAGCTTTAAAATGGGATGCAAGACTCAAGATTGCACAAGGCGCAGCTCGTGGATTAGCTTACTTGCACAAGGGGTGTGAACCATACATAGTGCATCGAGATGTTAAATCTAGCAACATACTTTTGGATGATAATTTTGAAGCTCATTTGGCTGATTTTGGGCTGTCAAGGCTACTGCAACCTTATGATACTCATGTTACAACAGACTTGGTAGGAACCTTAGGATATATACCTCCAGAATATAGTCAGACACTGACGGCAACCTTCAGGGGTGATGTTTACAGTTTTGGTGTTGTTCTTCTTGAGCTTCTTACTGGTAGAAGGCCTGTAGAAGTCATAAAGGGGAAAAATTGCAGGAATCTGGTGTCTTGGGTGTTTCAGATGAAATCTGAGAATAAGGAGCAGGAAATTTTTGATCCAGCCATTTGGCAGAAGGATCATGAGAAACAACTATTGGAGGTGCTTGCCATTGCTTGTAAATGTCTTGACCAAGATCCAAGGCAGAGACCCTCTATTGAAGTAGTTGTTTCAGGGCTTGATAGTGTAAGATTTGATGGCTCTCTCAACAATGATCTTTAGTTTTTGCATTTATGCCTAGATATTTGGGTTTTTGTTGTTGTATCATTGACAAAATATAGTTTGTAAAGCAAGTTTGTTGTATGACGGTGGAATGTTCTTGATACGGCTATTGCCTTGTTTGGTTTTTAGTCATATAGTAAATTATACTGATAGGTGTAATCTTTATAAAACCATAATTTTGGCCATGAAATCGTCTTGCAATAAGCTATATAACAAAAATGATTTTATGTGATTTTCATGCTATGTCGTAGACTCGTAGTCAGAGTCATCCACCGTGCCATGCATTTATTTTTATGTGCATGTGATGCATGAAGAGTATGACAAAAATGATTTCTAATCCTTCCAAATTTTTCTGTTTTTATTCCCGAGTCTGACTTCTTCCCGTGGTCTTAATCACTCAGTTTTGGATTTTATTTTTATTTTTTTTTCCCTTTTCCTAATTGTTGGTAGGATTCACAACATGTGGCTACAATTTATAGATTGTGGTTGTACCTAAAAAAAGCATGCATGCACGATTTCTTTTTCTTAAGGAGAGTTGATGCCGAGTAACACTTTTTGTTTGTATAATTTCTATATTTACAAATGAGGTAGGATCCTTTGACACCAGTGTCAAATTTGAAATTTGACATCTCACCTGAGAGCCGTTAGATCAAAAAATATCAACGGCTCTGATTTGTAAGCATGTGACACCATTGATATTTTTTGATCTAACGGCTCTCAGATGAGAAATTTGACACCGGTGTCAAAGGATCCTACCTCTTTACAAATTGTAGCAAAATTATATCCCCCACTCCATTCAAGTCTTGCTTGTATAAATTGCTACATTATTTTTATAACCTAGTTTCCTTGAACTATTTACTGCATTTTGTAGGCCTCAGCATCTTTTAATCTAACCAGACATGACTAGTCCCCAGAGATAGCAAGTACTGTGGTGCTTGTTCTAATCCTGAGTTATAACAAACGACCATGTGTAGTAAAATTTCATTTCATTATCCCATTTTGGTGTCAAGTTTATGTCTCTTTTCAATTCAGGGTTTTTTGTAGGATTCATGTCTTCCTTTTTTCTGCTGTGTGACTGTCTTATATGTCTTCCCAGAATTCGCTGCAGGATAATGTTGGCATAAAAATCTATTCCTAAGAGAAAATCTATTCAGAGACTAGATTAAGGAACACCATTTGCATGATATGTTGTTTTCCAACCTATGTTATTTTTCTTGTGGAAAATGAGGATTTCAGACTATTTGTTAGAGTTAAATTTTCAGGTCAAAGAGTTTGATGTGGAAAAAATATGCATTAACTATTTTCTTTTATCGAAATTGTTCATGGGATTATGTCTTTACTCAGAAAAAGGATGAATAAATAATTTCTCAGTGGTTAAATAGGGACAAAACAAATCTCAAAACGTGGGTCAGTATTATCCAAAACATGATGAGTGGAAAATGCACCTCAGAATTTATCAATTGGCTAAAGAAATAAATCCCATCATAAGCATTGATGTGAAATTTCTTTTCCATGTTGAAACTCTTTCTATGCCAATACTTTCATTGTCAAGAGCTGGCTGCGGAACCCCAACACCTAAAGTGGCTTTCTAAAGGGAATGGAAGCAATTTTCAATGGTTGAAAAACAGACTGCTTGAAATTCTATATTGGACAAGAAAAAAAAGTTTTGATTAACCTAAAATCCCATGAAACCAACCATAAAGATGCAATAACATTTAAATATATGCTTAAGCTTTTTGGGTTGATGAAGCCTTTTCTCCATGTTTCTATAGCAACTTGTGGTGAATTCACCTAATGCACTAGCCAATACAAATTGGGTGGCAACAAACATATCCAAGCAATTTCCATGTATGGTGACCAATAATGCCTTATATTTTAAGATGTACTTTAGACATAAACAAAATAGAAATGATATTGGTCAAGTCACCAACCACAAAAGTAGAAGCAACACGTTAACATTTGAAATTAAAATTTTAATCAACAAAAAATGATGCTAAGGAATTACGAAATATTCTCCTCTGATTTGATGTCTCGTTGAAAATAAAAAGAGGTATGGGAGAAAATATTGGATAATGAACAGATGGGTGCAAGTTGGAGACAAATCTATGAATAATTACACAGTATGGGGATTAGCCAATAAGGTTCCCCATCCCTTTTTCATGTTTAAAAAATCTATTAGTATCCAACAAATGTCACATACTTGCTATTGGCAACAAATGTGACATAGGATACAACTTCACATTTTATCTTTTTGTGTGGTCCAAATATTAGTTCAGCGGACTAAATTTGTGGCCTCATAATATTTTCTAGGCCTCCTATAATATTGCATAAAAATTTACAAATAGCCGCCTTTGTCATAAGTCGTACTTGCACTTGTGCTTCTAATCTCATTTTCAAGATATTCTCAGTGTGATCATTCGATATATCTTTTATCAAATATGAAAATAGTAATACTTTTACATTATCTGTAAAAAATCTTGGGATATACCACTCCAGAAGCTAGCTCAAAGAGTGGGAGTGTCCTAGCTCCACATTAGTTGCACATATAACCAATGTGAGATTATATATCTCAACACGCCCCCTCACACGAGAGCTCACTGGACTTGAAGGGTGGACAATGCACAGACTCACCTACATGTGCGAACAAAGAAATTCCACTTGAAAGAAAGTGGGGGGCGGCGAAAATCTAACTCGGGACATAGGCTCTGATACCATGTAAAGAACCCTGGGATACACCACCCCAAAAGCTAGCTCAAAGAGTGAGAGTGCCCAATGCTTTTATAAACTCCACATTAGTTGCACATACAACCAATGTGAGACTAGATATTTCAACACGAGAGCTCATTGGATTTGAAGAGTGGACGATGCAACAAGCCCAGCCTACCTGTGCTAAGAAATTCCACGATACCATGTAAAGAACTTGGGATACACCACCCCAAAAGCTAGCTCAAAGGGTGGGAGTGCCCAAGGCCTTACAAACTCCACATTAGTTGCACATACAACCAATGTGAGATTATATATCTCAACATTATCTTTATTTTTATAATTATTTCCTTTCATATCTTTATTTTTTCATTTTTTAGTAAGAATATACCTATATTCGTTGCACCAAAAATTTACTCCTCATTCTCTGTAATATATTTATATTTTAGTTGCAATAGAATAGGACGTATATAATTGATTAATAAGTGACTGAAACTAAATTACGCAGCAAACAAAATACTGTTCATTTAACCATGAGGGAAGAACTGAACAAAACTAATCTAAAACCTTATTTGGGTCTCTCACATTTGTTTTTAGTCTCACTTTAACTCTTCATATTTTATCATAGTTTTTACTTTAGTACTTAATATTTTTAAATTTTAATTAATCCATTTGTCCAATGGAGAAGTCATGGAGTTCCATGTAAATTTTTCTCTTGGATTTTATTTACACTTAGTAGAGGAGAAATTTTGTTTTATCCGGAAATCTCGATTTTTCAAAAATATGATGAAAACATTCAGTTTATGATAATATCCGAGAATTAAAAATTTAGAAAAATTTCAGTTTCCCGAGAATCCTAAAAAAAACTATACAAACGGCCTCTTAAGGTTGTGTTTGGTACGAGCTATCTCCCAAGATAGATAGGCATTGACAATTTGGGAATCTGGTTATACCACGTTGGGTTGAGCAGATTACAAAATTTTCCTACCAAAATTATTTCCCCAACCATCCATGTTTGCATGTAAATTGAACCAAATAGACATGAAACACAATCCCACTTCGGAGCAGGTATTTCGAGTTGTCTAGCTAAATGTTCCAAAAAGTAACAATTTTCTGACAAACATACCCTCACCTAATCTAATTGCAAAAAGTGATATTGCTACCAAATCTAATCGCAGACTAACAGCTCACTTTTCAATATTACGGATAAAGGGTTATTTGGTGATTCAAACATTTTATAAAAAAGGTTATTTTAGTAATTGCAACTCATTATTCTATCAATATTTTATTTTCTACCAAACATAAATTTTATAAATTTTACCTAATTTTTCCTGTAAATTTTTTCCAACCAAACAATTTTTATATTTTTTTACTAAATTTACTTTCTCACTATTTTTCTAGTAATTATATTTTCTTAATATTTAAAAAAAAATTTCTAAACCAAACACACTATAAGAGTAAAGATAATATAATATAAGTTTGTGCCCATCAACTTCAGCATTTAAGCTTTCGTTCTTATTATTATCATGTACGAAAAAAATTTAATTTTTTTTTTAAATCTGGTTACATATTTACCTACTATTATGTGGTAATGCTTAAGTCAATGTAAATCTTACTATCTTCGTTCCCTATCACAAATTTTCCTATCTTCGCCATTGCATTTGTTGACATACTCATTAAGTGTCATTGTTAGAAATGATGTGACAGATCATTTGCTAAATGTTAATTTTTTTTTGTTATAAAAAAGTTAGATTAGAAAAAGGGTTGCTACTTGCAAGGTCTGGTAAGATCGTCCACCTCAATGAAGGATTACCGTGCGATTACAAATTGCACATCAAAGAGGAAAATTTGAGAATCAAATTGTCCTATTATGGGGATAGAGATGTCTAATCAGAGATTAATAAGTTTATTTTGGATCTAAAAGCTCTCTTAAATATCATATGTCTATGGAGAAGATACCTTGAGGGCAACATATCACACAAGAGAATAACGACGTAGCCAAAGAAGTAATGTGTGTGCACATTAACAACAAGTAGAGAGAATTGTAAGAAAATTTCAAGATGATATTATATGACATTAGAACACCAAAAGATTCAGGCTTACTTGTTGAACACATATTCTTGATTTCTGGAAGGCTTCTTGTTTCCTCTAATGCTCCTGCAATGAAAAGATCAGGATCTTCCTCTGCAATTCACACCACTCCCTGATTACAACCGTCGATGGGGCAAGTTGTGGAGTGACGGTTTTCTAACGCATTGTGAATGCAGATGGTACCTAGCCAACTTATTAACCCTAGTCCCCTTCCCATCATGGGCCTATGGGTTAGGCCTACACTATTACCCACACTGATCAGCTTACAGATATCCAAGCCCAAATCAAAAGGATCACTATTTAACTGGGCTTTATACTGCACCCCATATGGATCATGACTTAGAC